TTTCTTGAGTTTTGTTTTGTGCCCCAGTATGAGATTGATAGATTTTGTGGAAAGTTCCATGGGACACTGAATAGAAAGTATATTCTTTGGAGCTTGGGTGGAATATTCTTTAGGTGTCTGTTAGGTTCCTTTGATGTATGGTATTGTTTAATTCAGATGTCTCTCTCTTAACTTTCTGCCCTGTTGACCTATCTCATGGAGCCAGTGTGTTATTGAAGTCCCCTCGTATTAATGAGTTGGGATTTATCTGGGTCTTAAAGTCCTGTAGTATTGTTTTTATGAAGTTGGGTGCACCAGAGTTTGGTGAATATGTGTTCATGATTGTAATATCTTCTGGGTTTATTGTTCCTTTAATCGGAATGAAGTGGCCCTCTTTATCTCTTCTGATTAGTTTTAGTTTAAAGTCTATTTTGTCAGATATTAGAATTTCTTAGTAGCATTCGCTTGGTATATTTTTTCCATCCTTTCACTTTAAGATAGTGCCTGTCCTTGAAAGTGAGATGAGTTTCTTGCAGACAACAAAAAGATGGGTTTTGTTTCTTAATCCATTCATATAGTCTATCTCTTTTAACTGGGGAGTTCAGTCTGTTAATGTTTAAAGTTATTAATGAAAGATGAGTATTGAATCCTGTCTTTTTTTTTTGTTTACATTCTTGCTATAGCTGTACTTTTACACTGTCATACCCTCGTTGGAATTCTTTCTGCAACCCCTTGGGTATAGTCATTCTTTTCTTCAGCTCTTTGTATTGCTCCCAGAACTCTCTGAAGGGCTGGTTTTGTGGACAAGAATTCCTTCAGTCTATTTATGTCATGGAAGATTTTTCTTTCCCCTTCAACTATAATAGACATTTTGGCTGGATATAGTAATCTGGGTTGGCATCTGTGGTCATTTAACACTGGGAATACTTTGGTCCAGGCTCTTCTGGCTTTCATAGTTTGCATTGAAAAGTCAGCTGTGATCCTAATGGGTTTTCCTTTATATGTGACTTATTGTTTCTCTTTTGCAGCTTTCAGAATTTTCTCTTTGTTTTGTGCGTGTAGTGTTTTTACTACGATGTGCCGTGGAGAGTTTCTGTTCTGGTCCTGTCT